TGTCAACGTTTTTACAATCTACTGATTATCGCATGTGGATGCTTATTCAAGAAGGTTATTCTCCACCTTCTCGTGAAATTAATGGTGTTAAAACTGAAGTTGCTTTTACTGAATGGACTTTCGATGAACGTGATTTGGCTCAGTTAAATGCAAAATGTTTGAACTGTTTTTTCTGTGCTTTGAAATCTGAAGATTACATGCGTGTTTCAACTTGCAAAACTGGTAAAGAGATTTGGGATATATATATATATATATATATATATCAATCCCCAAAATTATATATATTACTCAGAATCTATAAAATCAAATCATAAATACTCTGTCCTGAGTATAAAATAAAAACAAAAAGAAATAAAACCGAAAGAATCATGACCAACCTCACACTCCTGCTCTCGATCTTACCCTGACTTGAAATCATTTAAGCATGTATAATGAGCTTAAAAAGCTCAGCAGGTCATCAAAACCTATGACTAAATTTAAAGCACAATAAAGAAGTAATATGCATGTCAATAATTAAATCATAGCAATTACATTAATATGATCATTGAATTAATGTAGAAATAGTAAAATTCATATACAATAGTAGTATATTTTATATGCAATAAAATACTACAGTACATATGCCTGTAAAGCAATAAACCACTATGAATATTAAATCTATAAAATAACAGTCGTATCCGTAATACCAATCAGTAAAAAAATCAAATAAAGTATCAAATCAAAACAATAATAAAGACTATAGAAATTAAATCAATGTAGGAAAATCATATAAGAATGTACACATGTTATCTAATTATTTTATATCATATGCTTAATATCAATACAATGAATTATTAGTATAAAATAATATCAGTATCTAAATCGATAATAATAAAAATCTAGTTGCATTAGTACTAGAATAGTGCAATAATAGTAAATATGTAAAGTTACAAAAATCCATACAGTAATAAAAACAATGCCTTAAAAATATGTATTTCAGTAGTCATATTAAATAAGTAAGAAGTCATAACTATCACGGTATTTTTTTGTATTGTATTAGTATTAATTTTCTGTTAGCTCAGTAAATTGAGTGGTCACCCTTTGTTCGTTGACATAGTAATCAACTCTTTATAACTCTCAATCAATATCATGTGAATCGATATAGGATAATACAAAATAGTAGTATTTAAAGAAAAACCCATCGACCATCCCATATAGGTCCATTAGTCTCCAACCAACGGGTCAATCAGTCTTTACTTATATTTTATAAATACATTATTATCATAAACTATAACAATATTAATATCAATCACATATTCACATTCATTTTCAATGCATTACAATAAATAAAACATAATTGAACTTAATGTAAAAATGCACAAAATGTCATAACAGTAGATAACAAAGAATCCTATTAGACATCAAAGAACTTAATGTAAGAATCCTATGTCGATGGACGAAAATCGCACCATGGCCCCCAAATATCAAATTATCTTTTCTCTCTCCTTACTTTCCTCTCATTTTCCTAAAAAAAATTCTCTTTTTTGTAAATGATAAGGGACTTTAATAAAAATAAGTTAAGCGGCTTAAGATGTTTTAATAACATAATAATATAATATTAATAAAATATTAAATTTAATCAATTTTTAATAGAAAAATTATATAAATCAATTTGGGACTTTAAAATTTATAGAAAAATATCCATAAAATAAATCATTAAATTTAAAAAATATCGGTGAAATTTGTTTGCATATCAGACACATAACGATCCCAAAATCCTCACTTGTACTAATATGTACCAATTTCTTAAGAATTTTCACGGGTGTCCAAAAATTATGAAAAAATTCCCGTAAGTAAAATACTATGATTAAAGAAAATTTTTTTTAATTTGGAGTTATAATGTCTCCAAAAAAATTGGCAAAGTCATAGTACGGGTTATTGCACATGATAATCAGACGATGGTCGTTGAATAGTGGAAAACGAACTATAATAGCTAGGAGGCACAATGGTTAAATAATGAAGGTCAGATAATGATGGTTCAAAAGAAGATATTAGGCAATGACAGTCTTGTGACGATAGTTGGATGATAGTAGTAGTAGGCAATAATTGATGATGTGAGGGGCAGAACCATTGCTATTGTCGACCATATTATCATTGAGGACCTAGATAATGTACCTATGAATGTTCATAATGATGTGATTGATAATGTGTCAATTGGAAATGAATTAGTGGCTTCTCCTATTAAATTGTTATCTTAAGATGGGTGTGCTAATAATATGGTCGATTCTCCTCCGAATACAACTTCTCTTACTAATTCTTTAAATAGTTTGGAAAGTGATCATAATAGTTTGATAATCCTGATCCTATTATACATTGATAAGGATGTCAAGCATTTAATATCTTCTTCCAATGATACTTCTTTGCCGGTTGATGGTTATGATATTGTGGGTAATTTAGTGACTTTTACCACTCTACCTATGATTAATGTTTTGGATAATGTTATTGTAAGGTTTGGTGGTGCCAACAGGGAGGGATTGGATGAGTCTCCTTTAGCTGCTTTGGAACCTGTTGTATTGCCTAATTATGTGGATGCGATAGATAAAGTGCCTTTAATTGATGTCTCAATTTCTCTTATTTATTGTGATACTTTGTAAGCTTAATTGGCTTTGAATTCTAAGGATACTTATGTAGTTATGTGGATCAATTTGGTTAATTGGCTGGATGATTGTCATTCTTCGGCTACCTAAGGTTGGTGAGGATGATAAGATTGTGTCTGAGGAGGAGTTTCAAGCCTTGTATGGCTTGAATGTGATTCGCATCGCTGATTAAACCTTCTTTAAGGTTGTTGTAAACGGAAGAAGATGGTAGCTTGTGCCTTGTTCTGGTGTGGTTGGTCTCTTGGTTGTGGTGGCTCTGTCCGTCTGTTGGTTTGATCTCTTGGTTGTCGTTTTGGGTTTCCCTTCGTGGGGCTTCTCTTGGCTATGGTGGTTTGGCCTCTTAGTGGGTTTGTTATTTTGGTAGTGACTTCGAGTGGAGTTTGGTTGGTGGTTGGTTGTGGGTTCTGTTTTAGGGGTTCAGGTGGGGTTTTCTTGGGGGGTTTGTAGTTTTCTTTTGATTGCTCGGTTGTGGGTTTGTATTTCAACTATTTGGTTTGGTTCTTGGTCTTCCCAAGCCTTTTCCCTTTGGGGTTATTTTTGTTGTCTTTACTTTTTTTGTTATGTTCTTATTCTTTTTTGGAGGTTGCTTTGTCTTGCAGGTGTTAGAGCGATCATGTTGAGCCTTTTCGATCCCAAGTGTGTTATTGATCTGCTTTTGGTAGTCCTTGTTCTCTCTGTTGGTATCCCTGTGTTTGGCCTTATCTTCTTTCAAATGTACCTCGCTTGGGTTTTCTCGATGGATTTGGCTACCTCTTTTTCATTTTGTTTGATTATTGTAATATGTTGGAATAATGGCTTTTAGGTTTTATTTCAAAAGCTATATTTTTATAGAGCTTTTGTTTCATTAAGAACTTGTGATCTTTTATTTATATTAACATGTAGACTCCTATGCGACTTTTATGCATAAATAATAATAATAATTGAATGCATAAGAGTATACTCTTTTTCACAATTAAAGAAGACATAATTACATAATCTAGAATAATTGTTTGATTATTGTTGCAGATATTTCGAAAGAAGTATAGATGATGGAGATCAATGACTATTATTCAAAGTCAATTCATTAATGACATTGTAACAAAAAGCAAATCAAATTGCGTTGATCATGGTTTAGAATTTTTAAAATCTCTTAGTGCTCGTTCCTACTTCATATAAAAAATAGAACCTTATTTATAAATTTTTTTAGAGAAGCATTCCGCTACTTTGATTTTTTTTTTTTTTTTTTAAGATTTGTCTTGTTGAACTCATTGTTTTGATGATGAACATGCGAGATTTGGAGACCATCATTTGATCTTGATCTTTCAATTAATGTCCTTTAGTTTTCATTAATGTTTAGTTTGAGCTTATTTGAAGCTGATTAAAATCACTCTTGGTATCATTGAGTTCGTCTTGTCAAGATGACTAGATTTGATCCTCAATTTAATTTTAAAAATTTTTAATCTAAATATCATTTTGAGACTGAACATTGAATTTTCTGGAGAACACTTACGTTGGATTTTTTTTTTTTTTTGACCCATTCTTTTAACTAAATGAAAATTTTTTTTGGGACATTTAGGCCATTTAAGGCAAACTCACACACACAACGCATACACATAGACTCGAACCATGAACCTCTTAGTTGGAAGCCTAAGCTCTCAACCAATAGGCCAATGAGATTTGTGTTTTTAACTAAATGAAGATACAAAAAATATGATTACAGTAAAGAAAAAGGTCAGGAAGCACAAAATTCATATCTTTTTGCGAGTTGCTTTTCCTCGTATTTTGGAACCGAACCGGTTCCAACCGAAACAACTGATATATCGGTGTTGACTACAAACTTAAAACGTTGCAACGCATATTGTGCCTTTTTATCTTGCTCGACCGCACCCGGCCGAGCAGACCAATCCGGTCTAGAAACCCGGCGAATCGGCCTTCTCAGCCGAAATGCCCAACTCGCCCAAAGATAGAAGAAAAGTGCACGGCTGCACGCTAGGAGGTACGGCCAAACACGATGGTCTCCTCGTAATTTGAACAATTTCCGAGGGTCTTCACTCATGGTGACCACCCTTTAGTTTTATCCAGAAGGCGTAGGTGGTAGACAAAAGGCGAACCTCCAACGTTCTAATTTTTTAAAAAAATCGAGAAATTTTAGGAGGAAGGAAAAATAGAAATAATTTAAAATTTTGATTAAAAAACCTTTTTTTTCCATAATGCACCTTAATAATTTCCCGTGATGGACGGAAAGTTGGAAAGCATATTTCGATTTTTGTGTCTCCTCCGCATAAAATATTCCCTTCGATTTCAAAAAAATCTCCAAATTAGTAATTATTATTTTGCTTTATCACCAACTAATTGATTATTTAATTATTTAGCATAAATTAATTTTTCAGCTCTCGGACCAGTTCTCCCACTCTCTTCCTCTCAGGCGAGGTTCAAAGAGCGCCTAAATCCGTTAAGCGACGAGCCGGCGGCAGTTCTGCTACCAAAATCAGCTGTTTTCCGGCCATCTCGGCGCTTTAGATTGCCGGAATCTACTGTGAAAGCAGCGCAAAAGAGTTTTTATGCGAGATTGAGTTCTTGCGCTTGAGCTCTTTTTGCTGCAATTATATCTAAAGACTGGAGCTTGATAAAAATTTAGTCTTTCGAATCGGACGAGAAAGTGTTACAGTTCCGTCGCTGAATCTTCGATCCGTCATTCTCATTGGAGTAGTCTTGAGCTGCTGAGGAGATTGAAGAAGGGTCCTCAGATTTGAATTATATATAAACCACCAGCTAAAGATTGAAGATTTGCCAGGATTTTTTAGGGCATATGTTATGCATGGAGGGAAGGGAAGGGATGAAACCTGGTGGTTTTATGGCGGCGCCAGAGGTTGGTGGGAGTTATCAAAACCCGATGCCTTCGCCGCCGCCGGCATCGGCGGCCCCGGTGGTGACAAGGGTCGAGAATCTTAGTCCGAGGGTAGGCCTAGTTACTCCAACTCCTTCCGCCGCGGTGAATCCGCAAACTCATCAACCAGCTCCGGCCCTGACGCCGACGAAGGCGTCCGCTGGGTTGACGGCATGGCCGGGGATGCCGGGGAAGAAGAAGAGGGGGAGGCCCAGGAAGTACGCGCCAGATGGGAGTGTGATGCCGCTGAACCCCACGCCAATCTCGGCATCTCTGCCGCCGGGGGAGCACTCCGCACCGCCCGCTTTCTCTTTGAAGCGGGGTAAAGGGCGGCCAGGGGGGTTCTTGACCAAGCAACAACCGCGGATTGAGCTGGAATCTTTAGGTAATTTCATCACCCAATCTTCCCTATAATTTTATCGGTTTGATTGGAGCTTTCTGGGCAATGAACAATTTTGTGCTTTCCTATTTGTTTTGACCTTTCTGTGTCTTTATCCCTTCAACTTTGAGTTCCGAAATATTTGGTGTTATCGTCTCTGGGGCCACTACTGATGTAGGGGGTTTCTTCATATCCGCCATGAATGCGGTTCTTTCTTGTAGGGTAAGACAGACAACCCTGCGTTGTGTGGGGTTCGATTGGAATTTTTTTTTTAGACCTTTGCATTTCGAAAGATAAATTTGTATAATTTGCCTCCATTAACAACTGATAAGTGAACTGATAATCTTTCTCTCTCTCTGTCTCTTGAAATATTAATGTGTGCAAGTTCATAAATTGGTTCCCACGATATACGAGGGAATGGGACCTGTACGGGGCCATGTTTGACATTTTATGAGGACCGTACATCTGGTCCACGTACTACTGGAATATTAGTCGACCTGGCGAATCTAACGAATATTTTTTTTTTTTAAGTTTTTTGGCTTCACATCACTACAGCTTCTATATATTTTCTTAGATAATGCTGAACCTGTATTATTTTTTGAGGTGGATTATTCCAACTTCTTTCAACTCTTTCAAAACGATTCTGATTTTTTTATTGGATTAGTTGGATTGCTGTAATTACATTCGCGCAATTAAGGCTGTTTTTTGTTCTATACTAAAAAATCATTTTTTTAAAAAAGCAATAAAACGAAATCTAAATTATGAACTGGTAAAAATTTTGTTTTATTTTTGTCCATATTGCAAAGCTAACAAAGCATTTTTGTTTGATCGATTTTCAGTTTGGATTGAATTTCTCTGTTGTAAAGATTTTGGTTTTGTTTGGGACGGCTTTCTTATTACTTCATAGTACAAAATTTTTTTATTTTTTTTAAAAAGTTATTTTAAGAAGCAGTAAAAAAACTGTCTCAAATGCAGTCAAAGTCATTAGATGGGACCATGTTTTTTTTCTTTTTAATGCTGTCTTGTTGAAGTTATTGGTTTTTCTCTCAGGCGAGATGGTGGCATGCTCAGCTGGTGCAAATTTCACCCCTCATATAATCACTGTGGCTTCTGGAGAGGTATGCTTTAAATATAACGGCTAGCTTCCTGATCGCTATAATTTGAAACAATGCTATGCGGATGAATTGCCTCTTTTATTTTTTGGTTCATAATTGTCCAAACTTTATACTACCTTTTCTGGTTGTGGATTTACCAAATAAGGCTGGCTGATTACGACGAAATGTCCAGTTCCTAAAGAGTGGGAACTCATTTGTTTGTTACTTGGCCTATTGGTTGAGAGCTTTGGCTTCCAATTAAAAGGTTCAGGGTTCGAGTCTATGTGTATGCGTTGTGTGTGTGAGTTTGACTTAAATGGCCTAAATGTCCCAAAAAAAAAAGGAACTCATTTGTTTGTTACTGCATTGACATGACATTTGATTTGACACACATATGGAATGCCAATCCTGCATACCCAAGCCATCCAGAGCATGATTAGGACCGTGGGGAAAACACTTGCAAGAGTCTCTTTTAACCGAAATCCAGCCGTGCCACCGAAGTAATTTGACTGTGGGTTCACGGTTTGATTGATTGGATCGGTCCAATAAATATAGTCACTTAAATACAAATTAAAACACTTTAAAAAAAGAATTTTTTTTTTCCAAATATCGTATCATATCAAATAAGCAAGAGGAATTTATCAGAAGCGTATGTTAATTCATTGAAATATAGAGTTCTAGATTTAGTTCTTCCACATCTGAGTCAATGTTTATGACATATAGCATTCTTTTCACTTAGAATGGGATGTGTGGAAAAATGAGAACTAATTGCTTAGACTGGGGACGATGGCCCTTAATACATTACCCAAAATTCACTTGATAAAGCATTAATCTTAAAGCATACTTGAATTGAAAATTTTCAGAATCAAATTCATAATCATATGAATTCTAATTTTAACAAACTTGTGGTCAAACTAAAGGTCTTACTAGACAGGCTCATCAACACCAAGGGTGATCGGATCCGAGTCTGAACTAGCCCAAATCAAGAACTTGAAATATATTTGCAAACTCTTGAATAGTAATTAGAGAATCAAATGATCGCTAAATTTTGCATGTTTATAGTCAAATCAAGCATCTTGATGAGACAAATCCAATGACCTTAAGATCGCTTAATTTCGACATTCTTAAGGCACCTAGCTAAATGCTGAAAGAATTATATTTTATCAAAAAAAATCATTATAGGCCGTCTGATGATGTGTTTCAAATCAGCTATCTTTATGAAATATGTCACTTTCAAAAATTATGAATAGACCCACTCTCTACATAAATGAGGACCTTAGCTCAAGATTCAAAAAAGCTCAATGACTTGAAGAATTCAAGAACTCCATCAGACCATCACTCGAATGTTTTTTGTCGAGCCACCATCGTCAAACCACTGCTTAACCATCATCATTGAACCACTGCTTGACCACCATCGTCAAACCATTGTCACCCAACCTCTAATTATTGCACCTGACAATGGTCCTTCAACCACCATTATTTGACTACAGTCCTTCAACTGTTGTCGCCCAACCAAGATCTCTCCAATTTCAAGCCAAGGCTCCTCATTCATGCAAATTCTTGGGCTCTATTTATAATTTTTCATAGTGGCAATTTTTGTAATTTTTCCCAAAGTCTGAAAACATCATTGAACGACTTATATTAATTTTTTTCTTCATAAATCAACTCTTAGCATTTAAGCACCTTAATGACATCAAAATAGAGTGATATTGGGCTTGTTGGATTCCTGATCTTATCCAAAAATGATCAATTTGACTACAAACATAAATGATTTAGAAATCATTTGGTCTTTCAATTAATATCACGAATTTTCGAACTCCATTTCAACTGTCTGATCTGGACTCATTTCAACTTGAATAGGATCAATTTTGGCGTCATTAGGTTCATCTTGTCAAAACGTTCATTTCGATTACAAGCTTACTAAAATTGAAGTTCAAATGATTTTGAATTTAATTTTAGAAATTCTCAATCCAAAAATTGCATTAATATTAGTTCTTTATGGTATAAATTTTTTAATATTGTATCAATTCGATCTGGACTCATCTCAATCTTATGTCATTGCATTAATATATATATGATCCTTAATATATATATATATATATATTAAGGATCACACCATTTAAAAATTGATCTAGCTATGACATAAGATTGACTTGTGTGGATCAAATTCCATAAATTTTCATGATGAAATATCATTCATCAAGTACATATAAAAATACAATGATGAACTGATAGCATATATAAGCCCTTTTAAAGGTCTAAATTTACCTATGCATATTACCAATCAAAATTGTGTAGTACACGAAAGATATTATCATGAACACATGTATTTAATTTCAATTGATTATTTACAATAATAAGTATCTTACATTGCAATCAGTGTTATCCATTATAAAAGATTTTATGCAACCAAGTGAGGATCAAATAATCTTTAAAAAATTATTGTAATATTGGATGTCACTATGCTAAAGAAAATTAATTGATCGACTAATCCTGTTTTGAAGGTGCTAACATTAAAATAAAATTGGGTGGAGAATGAGGATTCCCTCTTCAAAAGATCCATGCATATATGTCTAAGTGTGTTAGTGAGTTTGTATATATATATTCAAGCTGAAATTAAAATCTAGAAATTTTTTTTGGTGAGTTTGGGTCTCTTGAAGTTCAATTTGATCACCCCTAATCACAAGAAACTCTTGATTTTCATAAAAAAATGAATTGTTTTTGTTGTTTTTGGTAGTGTTGTAGTATTTTATGTTTTGTTAAATATGATAAGTCCATCTTATTCACAACCTACCATGTAATGACGGAATGCTTACATAACAATTATTCTTAGTTGAAATAGCACTTCTCATACGGCCATTAAATTTATTTATGCAAAGTATTTATGAGGACAGAAGAAGCAAACCTACACAATATAATGAGTGGAGTATCGCACATTGATATTTGGAATTAGTGTCGACACAATTTGTGATTATTTGAGTCTTAAATTTGTTTTCTCTATTTTTTTTCTAGGATGTTACTATGAAGATAATGTCATTTTCTCAACAAGGGCCTCGAGCAATTTGTATCCTCTCAGCAAATGGTGTGGTTTCAAATGTTACTCTTCGACAACCAGATTCCTCCGGCGGCACCTTGACATACGAGGTTTGAACCATAGCTGTTATTATAGTAGGTTTTAGTGACTCAAGTTTTAACCTTTCTATGCTCACTTTTATTTGTATGCTACCAATTTGGTCATGATTATTTTTGAATATGTTCTTCATGAAAGTCTGGTACTTTGGTTGAACAGCTTAATTTATTTATTATTTTACTAGTACAGAATTATAGATTTTCATAGAAGTTCGGAAAACAGCGAGAATTCTTGAGTATTAGCCTGCTAGTTCTATTTGTCTATATTATAACCTGAGACTGATTTTTTTTCCTTTATCAACAATATACGAGAATGTGGTGTGCTCTTTACCTTACTTGGATTTTGGAGTTTTATTATGATTGAATATTTTAAAATTGGCCACTCAATCTAATAGCTCATGGAATATTCTAATATCGAAGCCATGCATTTATACAGTATCATATTTCGCATTAGTAGTTGGATCTCATATTGTTCTTCCAAATTTTAGTCATACTTCTTGATCATCTTTAGACAATTTGTAATATACTTTGTCAACAACGGTATTCTTCTTGATTGTGACAGCAAATTGCTTCATGAACATGCTTTCCATCTCAACAAATATCATAAGTTAGTTATTGGGAAGTTCAAAATATCATTCAAAAGCAACCTGATCATAAGGAACAAAATGGCAAAAGAGTGCAAGATCCATGCCGCCTATATTCTTACATGTTGCAATAATTGGATTAAGTGGTAGTTCAAGCTATCTTTGACTATCATTCCCATTAAACAGCTTAAACTATGTGATGGAATACCTCTTGTGATACGTTATCAAACATGTTTAGTTGGATGTGGTGGACACTTGGCTAGAAATTTCTCTTCTTGTTCCAAAACTATGATTGCTTCACTTTGTTAACATGTCGGTCCATAACTATGGGTCCCTTCATGGCAGTAGGTCCGTTTGATTATTTTAGATCATTTTTCATCCTAATGTTCAATTATAGGTCATACTTAGAGTTTAGTACTCCACCCGATCATCTTGTTTGATATGTGCCCTCAATGCTTGATTTTCTTGTTGTTTTTGCTCGATGATATGTTGCAATTCCTCAAGGAACGTCATTATCGCTTCTATTTGATCGTACCCCTGTCAACGGGATTCATTGACCGCCATGTTAGAGGACGACAATATAGAATGTGTAATTTGTCATATCCTTCTTTTCTCTTTTGTCGTATCACCTCTCCGCTTGTTTCCACTGCTTTTGCATTGATTCCTCCATATCTCATGTTGAAACCGTTTGGGAAACCAAGAGATCAACATCTATGGTCAGCTCCTCTTGTTGGAGTGGGTGATTCACTCTTTGATCCACCATTATGCGCTATATTGTCATGCCCTCAGTCACCATTATTGAGAGGAGCTGCTCCATAAGTAGGATCCCTTGTCTTCAACGCCATGTTTATCACTAATCCTCATTGGCTCTGTATTCACACCATAATTGTCATCATTAGTATCGACGCCACTGCCTCACTGCTCAAGTATCTCTAAAATTATGGATATGTTGTTATCACTATCATCGGCCATAATCTGAACTACTAATTCACCTTTTACTTTTTCCTCATGTCTTATGGATCTAAAGAGGGAAACCCCTCTGTTCAAAATCATAGGAAGAAGCTTCAGGTTGAGCGAAAGTCACTTATAAATGGACTGAGGGATAACTTTGAAAGGAAGATGAAGCTCAAATAAGCATTGATTGTCATCTGCTAAATTATTTATAGGGTTTAGAATTAGGGGAAAGTGCTTCATCCTTGATTTTTGTCTCAACATAGCTGTCCACACATTAAGTTTGGGAGAAATGGAAAATCAATCAATTAAAATAGCTAAACCGATTAGATGATTTAGAAGTCCAATTCAAATTGCCAGATGGCCACCATAATTGTTGCAGTTGATTGGTAAAACTCACATCCAATTGAGCCATGAGAAACCTAAATCACCCATGTTATACAACTAATACATTATGTTAAATATGCAAAATGTTTCGTCTAAGGCTTCGTTTGAGACGGCTTTTTTATTGCTTCTTAAAGTAGCTTTTTAGTATAAAAATTTTAATGTTTAAACTACAAAGCTATTTTAAGAAGCAATAAAAAAACCGTCCCAAACGAAGCCTAAATCTCTTCTTAAGCCATGGAAGATTTCACATTTCATTCTAACAATTGTCGTATCTATTTCCGCTCTCCTAAACCATTCGATGGTGCCATGTGGCCGCGATCTCCACATGGATTTCAAGAAAGACCCTGAAAATGCCTATAGTCCTAATGGCTCTCCACCATGAATCTTCATCATTTCTTAGGATAATTGTCTGCTAGTCAATCAGTTGACTAATGTCAACACGTGGAACCAACCCTCTCTACCTTCGCCACATGTCCCCCTACTCCAGGTCAGCATGTGTGTCACCCATGAATCTTTTATCCAATTGTCCCAACGTCTATAATAGCCTGCTTTTGAACTTCACTAGCATCAATGAACTCAAGCCTTAGCCAAAACTCCTCCAAATTATAAACTCAAAGCTTTTGGCAATGAGTTCAGGAAGAGTATTCAAGGAGTGATCATGATAACTTTTCTAGATACTAAAACTTTCCATGCTCACCCTCTTGTGACATAAGCAGACAGGTCGAGCTACTTAAATTTGTGCTCTCTCACCCTCTTGTAACATAAGCAGACAGGTCGAGCTACTTAAATTTGTGCTCTCTCTCTCTCTCTCTCTCTCTCTCTCTCTCTCTCTCTCTCTCTCTCTCTTCTTTTCTTTTTCATCAGCAAGTAAACTAGCTTAATTGACAAACTCAATCGTCCATGTATCTTTTCTTAAACCGACCTCTTCTCCTCTTGTGAAGCGGTTGGAAGTCAACTTTTTTCGGGTTGTGGATTGTCTGGATTAATAACCATACATCTGATTGTTAGACCGGTAAGCCCAGGTGGAACAAAGACAGAAGTTTCACCTCTCTTGTACTCGCCGAACTCACGCCCGGGTCCAAGGAAGTTGTTTAGGAAGGATTTTTGAGGGAGTTATGAGGGAAATTTGAAAATAGGGATTGTTTAGAGATTTCGTTTTGGATTGTATGCATTAAATAGTTTGTTGTTCTAGGATTATGACATCTTAAATTTGGCTGAATTTGAGATCTCTTATGTTTAGGTTTTTGGGCTCTAGCGGCATCTAGAGATTTGGGAGAGAGATCCTCCTCTCGAATAGAGGATCAATTGTATCTTGTTATTTTTCTTCTGTTAGTTTGATTATCACAATAAAATTACAATTTTTCTGATTTTTCCTTTGGATTTGTGCATCGTTCTCGCTGTTTTCATCAAGATAGTTAGGTTTTATTTGGGAATTCCAAGTATTTCCCAACAGTGACCTTGAAAACAGAAGGACCATATTATGGTTTGAGAGAAATAATAAGACCTATTTGCAACTTATCCTAAGATATATGATGATAAAGAAAGAAGTTTTTATTTTGTACCTGAAATATGCAGCTTAGGCAGATAACTGTTGATTTCAATATCATGTCATGTTTCTTTCCAACTCATTTGCTTGCACAGCTAAAATTTATCCTGAGCACATCAGCCGTTTACGCTGTTTTGCAGGGCATATTTGAATTACTCTCCTTATCAGGATCATTTATGCCAAATGAAAATGGTGGAACAAAGAGCCGGTCTGGCGGGATGAGTGTCTCATTAGCAAGCCCTGATGGTCGTGTTCTAGGGGGAGGCGTAGCTGGTCTTTTGGTTGCTGCTAGTCCTGTGCAGGTAATCCTTTTTTCTCAAATAAAGGTCATCATCAAAGCCCTACATGGGGTCCTGATTTCCACCCATGCTTTGCTCGAACGGGCTTCACCCACCCACGCCCATCCATGGTGACTTTCGGGATGTCGTACCCACCTATACCCACCCACTTTCCATATTTTTTGAACGCAATATGCCATAAACTGATGGCCTTAAGAGGCCTGTTGCTCTTTTCCTAATTGCAAACTTTCAAACCGCATATCATAATTTGTCGTAGTCACAATATGGTTAAGTGTTGCATGCTACGTAGTGAGGATTGCAATAACATAAGGTATATGGTGATTAACAATGTAAATCGATTTATCCCCCATTGTTAGTACCCACCCACAAGGGTATGGGTGAGTACATGGGTGGGTGTGGATATGAGTACCCAATGCAGGGCTCTGAACTCATCATGGCTTCATGGGTCAAATTATCTCTCTTTCCCCTCCATTCTTTTGTTTAATTTTCAAGCTTCATTTGCAAAAGAGAAACACATTCTATCCTTGGAAGGAAACTGAACATTCGAGACTGTTCTTAAATTTAAGGTCGTGGTGGGCAGCTTCTTGCCTGGCTACCAACTGGAGCAGAAAACAAAGAAACCTAAACTGGAGACATCAGCGGCAATGCCGGCAGCCGGAGTTGCAGTTCGAATGCCTACGGAGGTAGAAGATACTTACAGTAGTGGCGGGCAAGGACAACAATTGGCTTCTACACCAAAGCCAAGCCTTACCATCTCATCTTCCTTCAAAGGAGAAAACTGGTCTGCCTCTCTACATTCTTCAGTACCTGACTCTAGAAACTCTGCTACTGATATTAACATATCACTACCTGGAGAATGAACCATTAATTTTTTTTAAGAGTGAGGTATCTTACTGACATAGAAGCTGCCTCTTCCCTCAATTTGCTCTGCAGCAAATTAATCTCAACTGCAAATTCCGTTCTTTTGGTTTGGCATTTCGTTTATCGAACATCTTAATTAATTTGTGCTTATGACTGTAGCTATAATTATCTTTTAGTTATTTTTTTTCCTCGATTTTGTTCGAATTTATTGTAATTCATGGTTTCCAGTCCAGTTTTTTGTTGAACTCAATTGATGTTAGTTTCTTTATTACTTGTGGTCTTGACTTTTTTCATGATTTGAACTTCAAATTAATGAACATGCCCCACTGGAACATTTGCTTCTTATGGTTAGAATTAATGTCAGTTTTAGAGGAAGTTATGAATTTGTTTGGCGCATTTATCTTACTGTTTTTTAAAATAATTTTTTTAGTAAAAAAAAGATTTGAGCTAGAAATTTTTGTACCAAAAAATTGATTTAGAAAATAGTAAAAAGGTCATCCCAAACGAAGCCTATAACAATTACTTTCTAAATGATGAAGCTACTTGCACTTAAAAAAATGCTCATTTTTAGCAGTAATTATTTTGTGCGGATGATGAACGCCGTCCGGAGACCAACAAGAATGCACCATGTCACCTTGTGCTCAGTATCACGTCTCGGTACCGCTCACGTGACACATTCTTGTTGATCTCTGGACTACGTTCTACGTCTGGTCTCCACACAAAATAATCTCTCCATTTTTAGGGCTGTTAGAAATGCTCAGCTTGCCAAAAAAAAAAAGCTCAGGTTTGGCTTGTTAAGGGGTTTATGTATATGACTAGTTTGTAATGCAAATGAAATGAGCCAAATATAAATAGTTATTTTGAGTTAATTTTTAAACGAGATGAATATTAACAGAAATTTGTCTAATCGTATTAAGCTAGTTAATTGTTTCAATATATATATATAGTTTTTGAGTAATAATAAATTGTGAATTTTTAAAATACTTATTTGCTTGTGAATGCTTGCTTCATAAAAAAATACGTAGATTTTATTTGGAACAATTTTTTAGTTGAAAATTTTATAATTTAAAAAATTAATTTAAAAAATTATCCCAAATGAAACCTTACTCAACCTTAAAAGTTAAAACTGTAGAGTTGGGTGAATTATATATATGTGCTAATTTTCACGAACTTAAGCTTCATTATACGGAATTAAATAGCATTTAATAAAAAAGGTAAATTTTCATTTTATTGAAATCTCGTTATATTATAAATTTAACACTCAAATTATGTATCAAGTTATTAACTCATTGTCATTCAAACTCTTTATAATGCTTCCTCAATTGCTATGGCGTTCGTTTGCTATAACGCAGTCTGTTATAAAGGAACTTTTATTTTATCCAGTAAACGTACGCAGATGAACGTTCGGTTTTAGGCAAAAAAAGCGCCTGTACCGAGTACCGAGGTGTACCGAGTTTTTTCAAGAAAAAACTCGGTACATGCGCTTCTTTGCCTAAAACCGAAGATTCCTCTGCGTACGTTCACTGGATATAATAAAAGTTCGTTATAAAGCCTCTCTTCTCTCTCTCTCTATAGGTTAATTTATAGATGAGAGCACAGGTGTTCTAGGAAACCAAATATCAACACATTTAAGCATATAAAAAATATTATATAATATCCCTGGTTTCCCATTTTCCATAAACTACTCAATAAAGGATTCACGATAATAAAGAGATCACATGAATATTAAGAGTACCCTATATTTCAAATGAAATTTATCTCTCTTACTTAGAGGATGTTTAGTTTGCTAAAAAAGAAATGCAATATAAAAGAAATATAATATATTTGAAATGTTTGAAGTTGTTTGAATGAGTATAAAAGTAACACAGGAGATTTTTTTTTTTTTTTTGCTTGAAATAAAATGAATGCAATGTAAAGTAAAATAAAAGTGATGGTCCATGACCACTGGTAGCCAACGACGGGTAGCAGCAGCAAATGGGGCCGCCGACAGTGGGTAGGCGATGGCAACAAGCGGATGATTGATGGTAGTCAACTATTTCCTATAGTCAACTGGCGACAATGGTGGCCAGCATCAGTTGCTAGCGATGGAAGATGGTTGGCGACTATCGTGCTATCGACAATAATGCAGTTAGCTTGTGGTGAAAAAGGAATTCAACCAAAATTGAGCGAATTTATAATTCATAAAAAATTAATTATTGAGTGAAAAAAGAATTCACTGAATTTTTACACAGCTTTCCTTTTTCATTAAACTAAACACGTAAATTCCATTTCTAAATTGTATTCCTTTTACGTTGCATTCCTCATCTAACATACCAAACAACCCATTAGATATTAATGTTTGGCGTGCCTGCTTAACAGACAATGATTAAATATACATCCCAAAAGAGTATATATTAAACACTCAAAACCTAAGGGCCAAGCACATTATGATTTCACTTAGTTTGTATTACATCTCATCAAAATAACCTTATGAGATCTCTACATAACTATTTCACACCCGCCATAGAATATATATATATATATGAAGAACATTGAGAAATATTCAAAGAGAAACTTATCTTACAAAATCTGAAATTTTCAGCTTTTGCTAAAATCATCTTTGTTATTCTCGAGTATCTTCTAGCTCAATTTCACGAGAAATTATTCTGTGCGGAGACCGAAACGCAAAACTTCATCCGAAGACTAATCAGAATGTGCCACATCAACGATACCGAGCCGCAGTACCGAGCGAAGGGTGATGTTCGGCGTCCGCACAGAATAATTAATCCAATTTCACAAAGCTCAAAACAGTTCACAAAGTCAAAGGCTTTGAAGTTTAAACTGCCCTTCATAACCTCTCTGTACTTGGAGCAATTATTAGGTCCTTTCACTGGATGTAGAGGAAGGTTCGGTTTTAGCCAAAAATAGGTAAAAAGTGCAAATACCGAGTTTTTTGAAAAACTCGGTATTTTTTCAAAAAACTCGGTATTTGCACTTTTTTAGGCAAAACCGAACCTTCCTCTAGGTCCTTGCACCGGACCAAATAAAAACTCCTGTACTTGGCGCCTATATGCCAGGCTTCTTTGTTTTTTTTTAATCAAAATAGCAGGCCTGCATGTGAAAGAGATATTCCCCTTTAACGATTAACGACTAGTTAATCTTCCTGGAATATAACCGTTTCTCCTTTACTGTACGTTAAGCCACATATTTTAAGCATATGACTTGACTTCGGCCAACTACTTCCCGCATGATATAAAGCAGTTTCTCAGAAATCTCTGTTGCTTCTCAGCTCTTTATATGGATATCTATATAAAGTCATAAACATAGGAGCTGGAATAAAATTAAGAATCTAAACAGACATTTTTCTTAACTTATCAGACATTAGCGAATCACATTATGAGAATCTCGGAAACAGAGCTTTCTTTAGTGATCTTTATCGTAGGAGCGATAGCTTTGCCAACTTTCTGGAATACTCTTTGGGCTGTGATACAACTCCGATTCTTCCTATTCAACTTTATCATCGCTGCTGTCTTTCTCAGTAGCCTGAAGCCATTTTATTCGGAAGGAAAAGTTGAAGAAGAAATCAATAGGCCGTTTTATGGTGCAGAGATTGCAGAAGTTGAAGATGAAATCAATATGCTGTGTCAAGTAGCAGAGATTGAAGAAAGAATGAATGATGATGATGTTCATGATCATGATGATGGCTCCTCTGATTATGATGAATGTGATGGTGGTTCAGAGTGTTGTGAGGATGGGGAGGATTATGTTCATGATGATGATATTGACCCGGCAGATCTTGAAAAGAGGGCCGATGAGTTGATTGCTAGGATGAGACAAGGATGGATGGAGGAGAACCTTAGTTATGCGTTATCGATGATCCCAAATTAGCTTTTGAATATGTTTCTAACAAGGGCATAGCTAATATGATTGTTTTGTACATTGAGGTTTCGTTTGGGATGACTTTCTTACTGCTTCTTAAAGTAACTTTCTAGTAAAAAAATTTTAAATTTTTGTACTAAAAAACTGTTTTAAAAAACAGTAAGAAAGCCGTCCCAAACAAAGCATGAGTTCTTATTTGTTCTTATATATGTGTCTAAAGATGACAAATTCACATTAATGTCTTTTTATCATGTTTTTTTATTGATGGAAGTGTGAGATGCCCTTCTTCTGATTTCATTTGAAATTTGTGTATTCCTTTGCTACTTCTTAATAGCAAACTACCTTGTAAAAATATGTTGAATAAATATGATTTTTAATCTTTTAATATTTGCGTTCTTTGTAACTTTGTTATGGAGGGTGGGTTCTACCTTTTTTACTTATGTGAGTTATCTGCAACTAAAGAGATTTATGTTATGTGAAAGCTTTAAATCATCCCCAAAACAAACAATAAACGTCCCTATATGAGCCCTACAGACATGGTCAATAAAATTTTGTAAGGTTTGCCTGTTGCTAACTAGTTATGGCAGGGCACGTCTTCTGCGATCAGTTTTTTCTCTCTTTTGATCCATTTCATGGCTGTAAAAATTCATCTTTCTGGTTTTCTTGTTACTTTTTTTTTTGGCTAGTTTCTAATCAGCTAGGCAAGAATTTATGAAATAAATTGACTAATGATAAGAACAAACTAGTCAAATCAGCTCATCAGAAAAAACAATACGATCTACTATTCTGATAAAACAGGCAAAGATGCGCATTAATTCAAGAGCTTATAACTAAGAAAAAAAAACCCGACTGTTTTCATTCTATTCCATAAAGAATATAAATTTGTGCTGCTGCCTAGAACTGATCAAACATCGATGAGAAGCAAAACAAACAAATTAGTTAATAGTTAATACCACAAACACAGACTTCTGCAGTCTTCATGATGCTAAGAGGAAATCAAAAACTCTACTTAGCTCCCCCTCCAGCTCCAGGAGCTTGTGGAAATACATAGCAGTAATATAGCTCTTCTTCATAGACAATTGACACACAAATCAATTCATCAAATTGTAAACGCATAGCAAAGACAACAAATTTCTAACTTTTAGTTGATTAGTTGGATTTATAGTGCTAGATTTCTAACCTAAGTGGATCTTTGACTGCAAACCAAATCTCGTGCCCGTTGGGTAACAGATGGTGGCATATTTTCAACTAGTCATCCTCCAACAAAGTCCATACCATCCTGCATAGAAACAATAGGAAGCTTTCAGGTAACTGGCTCAAGCTAGGAGGTTTATTCCAGTGAGATCAATCATCTACTTACCAAAATAAAGATATAAAGAGAAGGATAACAAGATAGATGAGCTTGACGAGGCGACGCATCTTCTCCCCATTGAGCTGGTTAAAGATCTCAGTGACATCCATTAGGTGTTTCCGCTGCAGATATCTGGAAGTGACAACAGAGCCTGTGACTTGAAAGCGTAGGCTAATCTAACATGTAAATACTTAAATAATAGAGCTTTTTGCAACATCACGTCAATTTTTCTATTATTTACCCTGCAAAAAGGAAATGATAATTGCACGAAAAGAATATCTACTCAACACTAAACATGAATCTCTTTCCTTCTGAGAAACAAGAAGATTAGAAGAAGTGGACACCCAGTTACCAAATTGTGGGCTCCAAAAATTCACGCTCCGAACTCCTCTGCTTTTGGGGGAATTTTAACGGATTAAGTTATGGGGTAAATTTTCAGAAGACAGATTGAAATAAAATACTACCCACAAATTTCACCCTCATTTTGCAAGGACTTTAGATATGAGTTATAGTTTCCTATAGGCGCAAGCCACTATAGTTAAAATTACGGGAGATAACTTTTGATTAAGGCTATTTGTCAAACAGATACGTAGAGATATGTATGTTTTGGTCTTCGCTCTCTCCACAATTCCCTCGTGCACAAATGCAAGTAAACAATCGATAACTCATCAATCTTTTGTCCAATCAGACTTTTAAAATCACTCTTTTGTCGTCGATCTTTAGTGCAGTATGACATCCCTTCTCCCTCCACTGACCTTAGGTATAGGTATAGAGTTTTTTTTTCTAGTCCACAAATGCATTAGGATGAAACTTGATGATAGTAATCTAGCTATTCAATTGTATCTTATCCCTCTTAATTATTTTGCAACTTCTATATTCTAGGCAAAACTATTTATTATAATAAATCATAAATTACATTCAAATTCGCATCTCAATCTCATACGTCGGCACCTCTCATCTTCTTACTTACATCTCAAAAGACTCATAAATCTTGAGCTTCGTTTGGGACTACTTTCTTATTGCTTTCTAAAACAGTTTTTTAGTACAAAAATATTCTAATTCAAAAAAAATTAACTAAAACATTATTTTAAAAAACATTAAGAAAACTGTACCAAATGAAGCCTTAATTAGAGTTAAAATTATGTATAAGAGCATTTTACTTTTATTTATATTTTTCAATATTAGTTTTCTTTTTATTATTTATAAATCATCTAAATGCTTTTTGTGTGCGCACATGTTTAGATTGTACACATGGCTCGTTTTTTCCTATATTAAAGACAAATTTTTGTATTTAGTCTTAAAATTAAAAATCAACTGAACATAACCGAAAGAATTTTTTTTTTTTTAATGCGGGTAGTTTGGTTTAAACCTTTTCAGAATTGGCATTGCGGACTTGGTTCTAAAATATGGCAACCCAAACCAAACTAAATCATGCTACGACATTGTTCCAATCAGCAGACAACAACAACAACAACAACATCAAGCCTTTATCCCACTACGTGGGGCGGCTACATGAATCCTTTTTCTCCATTGTGTCCTATTAAAAGCCAAATTCTCGTTTAAATCTAATAAAGAAAGGTCATTCCTAATATTTTCTAACCAAGTCTTTTTAGGTCTACCCCTACCTTTCTTAACACAAGTCAAATCTAATACCTCTACTCTCCTAACTGGGTCGTCGGAAGGCCGCCTTTTTATGTGACCAAACCATCTAAGGCGACTCTCTCTAATCTTATCTTCTACTGGAGCTACTCCAACCTTTTCACGTATATGCTCATTTCGTATCCTATCTCTAAGGGTAAAGCCACTCATCCATCTAAGCATCCTCATCTCTGCCACACTTAACTTAGTATTATGCTTCTCTTTTAATGGCCAACATTCGGCACCATAAAGCATTGCAGGCCTCACTACCATCTTATAGAATTTTCCCTTAAGTTTGAGGGGTACATTTCTATCACATAACAAGCCCGATGCATTCCGCCACTTCAACCATCCAACTTGAATTCTGCTCCAATGCTCTACTACAATCAGCAGAAATAGACTAAATTTCATTGCCGCCATTAACGTCCCTCTGGTGAGAAGGGAAAAAAGAATGACTAACATTATGAAATCAGTAGAATATGTCAGCAAAAGGAGCAACATAAGAGATGCAAAACCTCATAAAAGCCTTCAATTCCTGCAAAACTGAAAAAAAAAAACAAAATATGTTCCAAAATAAGGCATATAAATCATGCATTAGCAAATCAATTTTGATCATTGAAATCAAAATAAAGCAAACGTAAAGAGGAGAAAACTGTAAACTTACAATCTCACATTGTAGTAGAGCATTGGAGCAGAAAAAAGAAACAACATCCATTGCCCCGATACAAGAAAGAGCAGACATAAGGTTCCTTGCAGTACAAATTCTGGTAAAATCACTGCATTTATCCGTGAAGATAAATCATATGGGTTAATGTAGTCATACTCTAGATCCGATAAGGACACCAGCTGCAAAATAAATGTGTAAACAAAAGAGAGAGGCTAACATTTACTCCAAAATGGAACTGCTAAAATGAACTAATATAATTGAATCTCTTTCCAAATATAAATAAATAAATAAAGCATTCAGCGAGTCAATTTATAAACTTCATTCAAGTTAGCCTTTGGTTGAATATTAACTTTTCAGCTACCTTTGCGGGATTAATACTTTTTACTTAACAAACACATAGAAATATAGTTTTATAGACGAGTAATTCAATTTTCTCGATCAGTGACACAGAACAAGCCACACTTTGGGCAGCATAAGAACAGTGGTTATTTCGTTTGGTTTTTCTTCTTTGGTAAGTCGAACAGTTATTTCCTTTCTTCCATTCAATTTAATTGATTGAAAATAAAAAATCTCTGAAGTGGCAAACAAGCAATCGGAATGTGCATCAGGCATAAGAACAAATCCTCTTTAATATTCAGATGTGATTCTTCATAGTTTTAGGCTTTTAGCAAAAAACAATTCCATTGCTACAGAAGCAAGAAATGTAAAGAAAAAATAACTAGTAGCATCCGTTGGGATACATGTAAAGCACGGGTCAACTTTGTAAGTAGCAAGCATTATCAGTTTATTTTTTCATAAGGATTCCTGATGAGAAATGTTTGGAGACAACTTCAAAAAGCATGACCAAGGATTTAAATATCAGCTATGAACTAATATGCAATTAAGCTGGTGGCACAGTCCCTGATGAAGATTGAAGAATTAACTATCCAACTTGTCATAAGAGCAGGCTTGTCCTCACAACCTAATTAGATTTAGATTGGTCAAGTAATAATGTGTAATCAATGGGTATTTAATTTAGAAGATCTTTAATAAAAAAATTTTCAATATGAAAGATGTTGTTGTTGTAATATGAAAGATCCCTTTTGATTTATCTTTCTGATGCTTTCCTGTTTTAATTTTCTTAGATAATGAAATCCCTCATATAAATAGAGTATGCATTTACGTAGAAACACCCCTACAAGTATTGAAACAATTATCTCTCTCGAGGATGCAGGCACCCTCTCCTCTTCTTTCTCATCCTCTCCACCTTTCCTCCCAAACCAAACCTACCTATTCTCTCCCTCTTTTCCAAAAGGAACTCTGAGCATGCCACCCTTTTTCTCTTTCTCAAGCATAGTACAAGAAACCCCAAGATCATTCAACACAAAGAATCATGCCCTCTTTGCAGAAAAAAGAGTTCCAAGTCACATCATTTTTTTTAGAGCCAAAAAATATTTTGAGTTTTTTGTGATTAGAGGATTGAAGAATATTTGCATTTGTTGAAAGTATTGATGGAGAAGTATAAAGAGAATAAGGGGGATCTACATATGATGTTTATTTATTTTGAGAAAACATGTGATAAATTTCCAAGAGAAGGGCCATGGAGAGTACTTGAAAAGAAGTGGGTTGATAATGCTTATATTCAAGTCATTAAGGGTATGTATATAGAAGCTATTACTTGTGTACAAACATAATGTAGTTTGACCTAGTATTTTCCTATTTCAGTTTAATTACATCAAGGATAAGCCTTAAGCTCATATCTTTTTGCTTTAGTCATGGTTCTCACTAGACATTTGCAAGAGGCTGTCACTGGTGTATGCTTTTGCTGGTGATATTCTTCTTGTTGATAAAAAATAGAGAGCGAGCTGAATGTAAACTTGAATTATGGAGGTCAACCTTAGAGTCTAAAGGCTTTCGTTTGAGTACATCTAAAACAGAATATATAAATTGTAATTTTAGTAGTAATAGATCTAGTGGGGGGATTGCGACTTTGAGCGATTAAGTCATTAATAAGAGGACACATTTTATATATATTGGGACTATTGTTCAAAGTGATGATGATATAGATGGTGATATTATTAGTAGAATTCAAGTTGGATGGTTGAAGTGGAGAAATGCGTCGGGCTTGTTGTGTGATAAAAAAATTCCCCCAAACTTAAGAGAAAATTCTATAAGATGGTGGTGAGGCCTGCAATGCCTTATGGTGCAAAATGTTGGTCATTATTAGAGAAGCATAATATTAAGTTAAGTGTTGCAGAGATGATGATGCTCGGGTGGATGAGTGGCTTTTCTCTTAGAGACAAGATACAAAACAAGCATATACGAGAAAAGGTTGGAGTAGCCCCAATGGAAGATAAGAATAAAGAGAGTCGCCGTAGATGGTTTGGTCATATAAAACGGCAGCCTTTTGATGACCCGGTTAGGGGAGTATATGTATTAGATTTGGCTTATGTTAAGAAAGGTAGAGGTAGACCTAAAAAGACTTTGTTAGATAATATTAGAAATTTCTTTATTAGATTTAAATGAGAATTTAACTATTAACAAAACACAATGGAGAAAAGGGATTCATGTAGCCGACCCCACATAGTGGGGTAAAGGCTTGATATTGTTGTTATTGTTGTTGTTTAAAATTTTAACCTAAATCCTTTTCGTCTGATAAACTCTCATCCCCCATCCTCTCCAACCCAAGCAATCTAATCATCATCCAGACGACTACCTCACATTAATCCATTGCTGCAATATAAATTAGAAAACAATTAGTATTATGATACCTTTCCATGATGCTTTCCCAACTTAGCTTTATCTCCATAAAAGCCTCCAAGAAATTCTAAACAAAATTACCCATATTCCTTTCCATATAAACAAATCAAATCAGCCTAAATATTATCACATTGAATCCCTCCAACAATCAATTTCCTTATATGCTTGATTATCATTCAATTTTTTTCTATCCTTGATTCTCAAAATTTATTCACAAGCATTTATGTTTTGAATTGCCATGAAATCATGGATCATTTTTATTCACTTTCCCTCACATTACTTAAGAAACTTTAAGGATTTTCACCATCTTTTTGAGGTCTTTTTCGACTATTGATGCCCCTTATCTAAATATACCCAGAAATTCAGATTGTAGCCAGCATACTAGTCCTGGGTAGATTTGAAATTTTCAGCAATAGCTGTCTCACCATCCAAAATTCAATTTTAGTTTATCAAGAAATCTGTTTTTGCCGAAATAACCACAGTTTACCAGTTTTGAAGCTAAAACCTAAGACTTCGCTTCTAAAATAGAAATTTCCCGTTTCAATACTTCATACGCTATCCCAAACAACCACAAACAGAAAATATGAATTTTGTTTATCCATTTCCTATCTTAAGAGTTTTATATGAGCTTAAGCATGATCAACCTTGATATAGCTTGATATCAAGACACCCATTCAAGCTCACATTACTATATTAACCTCATTGGTGGCTTTAATAAAAATGTGTGGATATATTTTTTAAAGAATAAAATTGAATTCTTTGATATTCTAAAAGTTGGAACAGCTTGGTAGAAAAGGATTCCAGTGTAAACGTAGAGTACTTAAAATCAAATAATGGAGGAAAGTATGAGAGCTTGAATTTAGAAATTATTCCAAGTTCCAACAAATGGTATATGTATGAAGAAGACAATTCCAAGAACACAAAGCATACTGGAATTATTAAGTGCATGAACAAACTATGAATGAAAGATCTAAATGCATTTATTTATATGGAAGATTGCCCAAGACCGTCTGGGTGAATGTCATTAACATTACAACCATCAATCCATTATGTTATGAACTACATGAACAAGTTTACACTAGCAAGAAGGTAAAACTTTCTCATATTCATATTAGTATTAGCAGATATAAACTAGATCTCAAATCTCAAACAATTATATCATTAGGCTTAATTTTTACTTTTTGTTTAAGATTTTGAGATTATCAAAACCGAAAAAATAATTAGTTATGAGAATATTATATTCGATAAAAACAACATAAACAAATATGAATATAATAATTCAAGGAAGTAGGCCTCCAAAAGTGAACGTATTGAGCTTGAGGTGAGTTATGGAGATGAAGTGTAAGAATAAGGCCACTTAACTCCTCCGACTGCTGAAATTCACGAAGCCAAAGTCAAGAACGTCTGCAATACAGTTGAGAAGGCATTAAATAACGTTTAAGCCTACTTACTGATATTCTCCCTCCTTACATTATGTACTGCTTATTGAAGCTGTCGAACTACAGTATTTTGAATGAATGATGTGGTTTAAAAACTTCATCAAGTGGGAGCTGAAAATGAAAGAGGGGATGAAGCACTCCAATAAAATCGCTTAATGATCCTTGACTAGGCTATAATGAAGAAGATGGCATTTCAAAACTAATGGATTTTTCATATCATGAAAAAAGTAAAATGGCAATAAAATGACCAAAGCAAGGCTTATTATAAAAGATATGAGTGAAAGAAAGGTGTCAACTTAGATGAGATTTTTCTCCTCTTGTTAAATTGACATCTATTTGATGGTGTGGAGTATAATAGCATCAAAAAATTCTACATATTGAGCAGAGATATCAAGGCAGATTTTGTTCATAATGATTTGGAGAATGACAATAATATGGTACAACTTACAAAGACTCTTAAGTCCCTAGAAAAGAAAATCTTGTTGGCAAACTAAATAAAAGATTGTATTGATTAAAACAAGCTCCCCATTAATTTATAAACAAATATATGGATATATGCATCAAATTAGCTTTACAGATGCATTGCAGATCATTGTTGCTGCGTCAAAGGATTGTTGTGTGTTTTTATCATATTGCTCTTATATGGATGTCATACTGATTACAGAAGCAAATAATAATATTATTAATAAATTGAAATAATAATTGTCAAAGGAATTTGATATGGATCTGAAAGAAGTTAAAAATTTCTCGAGATGAACATCACTCATGGCAGAATAAGCGACATGTTAAAAAAATCTCCCAAGAATTGAACTATTAAAATAAGTAGGCCACTAGGCCCTTGCCTAGTTACTTTAAACTTTCAGAAGTAACAATCACATGAAATTAGTGAAGGGACAAACCATATAATAAAAGTTTATTATGCCTCAATACGTGGCTCATTGATGCATTTTATTGTTTGCATAAGCCCTAATATAGCTCATATGGAAGAAGCAATAAGCAAG